GTCCATTTACCATTGATATGATGTTCCTTTTCTGCTTTCTTTGGTCCAGACTGGACCTAAAAAACTACTGGATGGATTGCCATATTTTAAACGGACATTCATTGTACCCAGAGAATGCATCGTACTGACCTCAGAGATCTACTGACTTTTCCTCTTGCTTGGTTTTGAGTAAAATGTCTGAACTATTATGGATTGCTGAAATTTGGTACGCATATTCATGTCCTCCTCATGATGGCGGTGACCCCTTGTGTTTTACCACCATTATCAGGTCAGAATTTCAATTTGCCCACTACTTTGGTTTATGACCAGATCGGCTGCACTTTGTGTTCAGAGCTAATTAGCACATGTTAGGATGAATTAAGGTAAAATAAAGTAAATCTGGTGAATAATACCTGCTAAACATCAGTATGTTAGCATTGTCATTGTGAGCCTGTTTGTTATCAGGCTAACATTAGCTCAAAGCATCACTGGGCCTTTGTACAGCCTCACAGAGCTGCTAGCTTGGCTGTAGACTCCACTTGTTATTACTTAAAAAGTCACTGAGCAGGTCACACTTATGAAAACATGATGTCTGATGATCAACAGTCATTCATAACAAATGGTAGAATTCTGGGAACTCTTATAAGCTGAGAAGATGGTATTATAATGAAGTTTATACGGTGTGTCAACTTGATGGTGCACCATGAAAACATCTGCAACAGTGCCAGAAAAGATGCTTCTAAAATGTATCATTTCAACACTCAATGCTGGAAAATGATTTGGTCTATTAGAAATTCACGCGAAGGAAATAACACAAATTAGGCAAAACAAAAACAAAAAAATTGTTTGGCCAATTTTACTGGAATTAGTTTTACGTATCTACTCAGCAAGCCAAATGTATGACACTGATTTTAAACAGACGTGTATGAAATAAATAGGGGTTGACTGAGCCGTGATGCGGTGCTGACTGTGTGTGTTGCTATAGACACCCTGTGCAAACAGTGGATCTTGGATTGACTTTAAGGGTTGCTGAGTAAAAGTCAGATGAGTTCCCTGAAGACCGCGTAGGTGTCTGTTGCCCACTCAGAATATGTCCTGGCGCGATGCTGGGTAACCTCACACTGTCAGGATCAGATGTCGGGGGTCAGGGTGTGACTGTTACTGTTAGTATCAGAATTTCAATCAACTTTTACTGCAAGTAAAATATAAGCCCAAAAATCACATACCAAGGCCAGAGGAAGCTAGCAGATATTTTCTGTAGAATAGTCCATAGATCAAAGCCTTTATGTCATATGAGTTGACAGCCAAGTATAAAATTACAGATCATGACCTCACTCCCATGACAGCAAAGCACTGTTTTCTTTAGTTATCATAACAGACCACCAACAGAGTGCCCAAGAGAGGGAACCTCATCGCTTCTGCTGTGATTTATAATCCACTCTGTGAATCAAGGCCAACCAACCTTAATGTAATTTGGTGTATATACACAACCCATAAGAGGTGTATATTGTTTGGCAAGCTGTAATAGTTGTACCTTAAACCTGACCCTGAACCTGGGTGAAGGCCAAACACCAGCCATCCAGTAAAGACAGGTGGTGTGTGTGGTTGGTTTGGCTGGAATAAGTTGGAGATCACAGGCCTGTTCGCTGAACCTTCACACAAAATAGATAACATGATGCTAAATAAAGCTCCCTAATGAATACAGAAACACACACGTGTCACCAGAGGGGTCTTTAGGGGAAAGAAGCATCAGATATTTTTGCAGTATGATTTTATTTTCTGACAGGGTGACGGCGATGGATCACTGGCTCATAGACAAGTAGGGGAGATATGAGCTGGCCAAGCATTTGTGTTGTGGTACATGTGCTGTTTGTATCCATGGCAACTGCACCATGGCCATGTCCCTTGATTGCTAGATAGAGTCGCTGCCCTTGACAATATTGAGAAACTTAAAATGATTTAAGAGTGGAGCATCCCATTTTAGGCAATTCGGAAACAGAAGAAGTGACTCAGTCTGTGTAGACTGCGGAGTCATAAAAGCTATGAGATTACATGGTTATACACAGCAGTTTGGTCCAGATAAAGTAGTGATTGTGGTTTAGTGGCACATGTGGTTTGAGCCTTTGCAGTTTTCTGACTGTCAAACATAATACATTTTCTTTAAACTGAAGTACTTTATCAACAAATGTTATTTTGTGTATTATATTTTGTAAAAATGAAATCAGACAATTAAACCTCACTTAAAAGGGCTCCACACCAATTTAGTATTGCATCGCATAAACTGGGGGGATTTTCAAGAGACAAATTAAAAACCTAATGGTCAAAATCAAAGCAGCAGAGGCCAGGATATTCTGATATTCTTTTAGTCCTTAATGTAGGCCACGCTCCAGAAACACTGAATATATTAATCCCCTTCTATCCTACATCTTTCGAACGTCATGCCCTCAGCAGTGGTGGAATGTAACTAAGTATAGTTACTCAAATACAATCGATCTATATCTATCTATCTATCTAT